CTCTCCTCTTCTCTTCTCTTCTCTTCTCTTCTCTTCTCTTCTCTTCTCTTCTCTTCTCTTCTCTTCTCTTCTCTTCTCTTCTCTTCTCTTCTCTTTCCAAGCATACTGGAAAACTGAAATCAACAAGGCTTTAAAATACTTTGACAAACACTTTGGAAAAATCTGTTTTTGAAAGCTGCAATATATATCCTCATTATATAAATATCCATTGTGGCCCACTATTGCTATCTGAATTAATACAAGAAGGAAAAATCCTAAATCTTCTTCATCTGTTTAAGTGGAAAGATTTTCTAAAGGACTATGCACAATACAAATTTGCCTTCTGAAACTTTTAACATACACTCTTTGGCTACATTAGTGACATCTTTATACAGACAAAGATTTTAAAGAGTTTTAAAAATTGCCTTCTAACAAAAATTTAGAAATGTCACTACATGTGGCTTTATTTATGAGAAAGCAAGGGTTTCTTAATGTTTTCTGGTGGCATTTCAAAGTTATTTTCCAAATATGCAAAGGAGATACTCATGTGTAAATTGTTAGCAGTACAAGACACACTGCTACAACAGCAGGGATACTTGATACTATGGAATTCACACATCACAGTTACTCAAAAGTGTAAGGAAGAAAGTGGAGCTTTGAAATTCTGAGGGCTAAGGCCCTTTACTTGTCATTTTAAAAACCTTGGTTTTGGAGGAGAAGCATTCCATAAATGCTGATAAAGAGTGAGAAGGCTTCTATAACTGGGCAGTATGCACAGTAAAGCTAAATCCCAACCATTCTTTTAAAATGCATGTACCTTTTTGTTCTGTTTTTTTCCTCTTAACATTGACAGCCATCCACAGCGACTCAAGGCTGATTTACCTCGAAGTACAGATTCTGAAAATTTGTGAGGAAAACCCAGTGAGAAGCCCCAATCACTGTTTCTCATAATCCATCCAATGCATACTTTCAGGTTTGTTTTTTTTTTTTTGATTTTGCAGAAGAATGAGCACCCTGAAATTCCTTTTCCAAGCAGCTGATTAAAGCCAAGCACTCATCCTGGACAAGCAGGTGAGCTGAGGATGAAGGATGTAAAACACAGGGCTAGCTTGCCTGTCCTTTTGCTGCTGCTCTGGGATCTAAAGAGCCATCTCTATCACAAAAGCATCTGCACAAGACCTTTATGCAAGGATGAATTTTATTTGATCCTAAAAAGACTTTAAAGGCAATGAAATGTATGTCACTGATCTGCACCCTGGGAATCTGGCCAGTAAAAACAGGCTGCCTATTTATTAAGTACTGATTATGTGTCACATACATTGTCACCCAACCTTCAATTATATTAAACAACCAAAAAACAGAATCTAGTAGGGTACATCTGACTTAGCCTATGAAGATAAGGATACAAAAGCTTGAATCAGATATAGACATTCCTTTTAGGTGAATGGAGCACATGCTTTTAGAATATTTAAGTATCATGCTCAAGGAGCTACTTGTCTGGCAAATAACAGCTTCTGAAAGAGAAGGATTATTTTTCTCTATATGTTGGTCAGAGCAATGACAATAATTCCTCCCTCTTAAAGAGTCAAAGAGCAAGTTCTTTCCCATTACCTTCTCATCCTCCTAAGGCAGGCAGGTGTTGTCTAGTGTCATAGGCCAGAGTTCCCAAATTCACTTTCATTTGAAAATTTCCTCAATTTTTCCCCTGAAAAATGTATGTTTCCAGCTCTCGCCTAAAGATGAGGTTGATTCAGTGTTATGTCCATCAATTGTCCCATCATTCAACTACTTTCAGTGCTGCAAAAACCAAATCTGTTTCCAATGCAGCTTGTGAAAATTCCTACTTGGGGCATGTCACTCACACTTTTCAGAAAGGATTAGACATATTTATGGATTATTATTGTGTTTCAAATTAAATCACGGGGTTTTTTATCTCTTGCACTGGAACGTCCTTGTGCTATGCTAACTGGTATTAACAGCTAAACTGTGTCCACTTGTCCATATAAAAAGGAATAAAATCTGAGCACTTGGCTGTTCTGTATAATTTGAACAGCATTTGTTGCCTTGTCATTACAGACAAAAACATTACAATGACTCTTAAGGTAGTAACAATAAAACTCTTTGCACTAACAGAATGAGTCAGAAGGGCCTGTATCCAGCTGACACCAGTTGTTAGTGGTGGCATGAAGTGACAGGATGAGGTCCATGATAGGTATGCATGCACACGTCTTCTGTCAATATTAATTGATGTCATGGGGCAAAATGCCTGAAGAGCATAATTAAAATTTCCCCTTGAGCGTAGTTCAAATCATGCTTGAGAAGAGTTGATATTGCAGCCACCTGAAACCACTTTAGCTTCACTACTTTTGCTTTCAAGGTTGTTTTGGGGTGCTCAGCACATATTAGAGATAATTCATGCCATTCCAGTTTGCACTCTTAATAGTCCGTTTCCTTTTCCTCTGATTATTTTTCTTGCACATTTAGGAGAACTGTAGGAATTGTGTCAGAATATTAATCCTACAAAATGTCTGCAGAGAAGGGATAATTTGGAATGGATCAGAATCCAGGTCTAGTAAATATTGCTTTAATTTAATAGTGTTTTAAACAACTGCAAACCTTCTCACCTTCGTCACCTTCTAGTGAGGAGCTCTCATAAGTCACTGGCCCAAAATGTGATTCAAATGCAAAGGTCCAATAAGCAATCTCTTGATTTTGGACCTATGCTGGACTCACCGGTGGTAAATATGCACTGCTGTAAAGCAATTTTTGTTAATTCAGTGCTGTTTCTTCAGTAACTTTGCAATCTTGGACTATCATTATTTTATCTTAGATATGGATTATCTTTGAACAGTTGGCAGCTGCTCCTCAACATCTGACCTATTGTAGCAGCTACAGAAGTTTCTTCTGTTCATGCAGAGGACAGAAATCCTCCTCAAAGGCATTTGAGGCCTCACCTGTGCGGTTCTTGCCATGTTATTTCTTCATGCCTCACTGTGCCTGTGTGAAAATCATTGTCAATTAAGCCTGTCCCTAAAAGTGGAGCAAAGTAAAACAGAAGTAGAGAGTTTGAGGAAGGGTTAAGGTTACTGAAGGATTTTTCACAGAAAACAGCAATAGAGTATATTGTCTACCTTACGTTTTTCACCAAACTTCCCATGATTTTTATCAGCTATGCTGTTTTCACGAACTAAACCACAGACTAGGGCTGTATTGCTAAAAAGCATTATTGGACACTCATATTTTAACTGTTGATTTTTCACTTCCCACTCATGAAAACTGGTTAAGGCTCTGCAGGCATCTGATGGGAAGGATAGAAAGCCTGGAGGTTTGATACCCAATATTTATCCACACATATTAGTTTCTTACTTACACTATGATAATTTTTTTTTTTTCTGGAAACATCTCATGGTTTTATGAAATGAGCTGGAAAGAATGAGAAATCCATGGAAATGCTCTAATTCAGAGTCATATTGCCCATACAAGGCAGATACAGATTACTTTATCCTGGTACAGACTGACATTATTCAAATTGAAGCACAACATTTCCAAGATTGGCTTATAAAATAACAGTCACATGAGAATTTAAAGGCAGATGGACTTATTAATTTAATACTTTCCATAGCTTTCTCTATCACCTTATCTGTGACCTGAGTAAATATGTTTTCAACAAAATGTTACAAAAGTATGTCATTTCTTTCAATGGGGTTAGGTAAGCATGGAATGTGCTAGCAGATACTTTAACAATCTTTAGGAAAACAAAACCATTTAATTCAGACACCCACTTACCATATTTTACATGGTTTTCAGCCATGATGTCACTGGGACTGTCTTTAAGTCAAACCAAGCTAACAAGAGGAAAGGAAGGAAGTAACAGAAGGCATTCAGCAATTATCATCCTTTAACAGTCACAGGGAATTAAGACCATAAGTTCTGTACCCTGCAAAAATATCACACTGTGTTATGCAGTTCCTTCTTAAAAAATTCCCAAGCTGTATCAGACCTTATTTTTCAAAAGGATAATTAAATTTCTTAGAAAACATAGCAATACACTTCTGACCTTAGCATCACAGATGGCCAGTGCTTCCCTTGATCAGCAGCTTCAGTGGAAGCTGTGCTGAGGAGGACTGGGCTCCATGTCAGGAATATTTATGTAGAACATTTAAAAATTGCACAGCTCTTCTACTGCAAGCTTGTTTGGCAGTGTTCCAGCATTAATCAACAGTATTTATACCAGAATGGAAAATTCAAAACTAAAATGCCCTATTAAATACAAATCATCAAACGGAAAAAAAAAAAAAAAGGAAGAAGAAGACAAAAACACTACAAAGAAATTAAAATCTTGAGAAAGAAAAATGAGAGTAAAGGTTGTCATTTTCATTCCACTGAAATTATACTATAAATGATGGCAAAACTAGATTAGGTGGACCACAGTCCATCATTCATCATTATAAGGAAACTAATATTACACATAAAACACAACATATTCTGACTGTTCAGCACAGTATTTTTTTAAAAAGAACAACAAATACACAGCTTATTTATGCTATTGCACATAGATATGTAAAATTATCTTCATATTATAAAAGCAATACCTACCCTAAAGACATCTTTCTTGTTTGCTTAAAGAAAACCAGAACTGCACTCAAAATTATTTGTCTCCAGAGTCCAAAACAATATATCATATTTGACTGCTGAGATGAGCAAAAATTTTTTATACAAACATAAAGAAAGAGCATCCATTTAGCTTAGAAGCTGGTATTATTAATTAATTCTTGAGAAATCAGCAAAATGATAGAAGTGCTCTGAGCAGAATAGGGATGATTTTATGATACATTATCTGTACTCCATTGCCCACCTTCATCCTCTGGAGATGCAAAACTTCTCTGCATTCCAAGGAAAGCTGCTCCCATCATAGACACTATGGGACCAAATAATTTCAATGCCCTGTATCTTGGCTAAAATCTGGGGAGTGTTTACGGTATAGACCTCAAGTGGGCAGACTCCTCCCTTGCACAGGGAGTGCATGTGATTGTCATGTTTCTATCCGTTTCCTAGTGGTTAGCTCCCACTTCAGACACCACGCCAGTGCTGGTGACTATGAGCATTGCAAGCTGGAACTCGTTAAAAGGCTTGCTTAACTTGGGTTAAGCATGTGGCTTAATTAAGGCATGTTTTATGCACTTCTGTCTGATAATATAAAAATAACTGCATTGGTTTGCTTGAAATGCAGCTGCTACATGGTGTCATGGAAATAAGTGTTAAAAGCTTTTGATTCATTTTCTTTTAAATCGTCTCACTTTCAAGACATACAACTAATAGGATCACCACAACACATGATACTGTTCTGGAAGCTATGGTTGCATCTGCTCACAAGTAGGAGCTTGCAGAAGTTCCCAGTTGCTAAAAGCTTTAAATAGACTGGAACTATCAACTGGTTCCATGTGTTCCTCCCAGACATATCAGCTTTTATGAACACTTTTTCCCAACTGGAAGAAATCTACTTTTAGAAGGGGCTGATAGGTTACTAGATTTTTCAACAACTGCCTGAATTTCAATTCCAGTTTGGCTGAAATCATAAAGTATTTGGATTATTTCATTGCTAACTATTTCAATGATGATATATTCTGTTCCAGCTGTAGTTGGCTTCAGCTGAATACACTGAGGTTAGAAAATTGATCTAACCATTAAAAGCCATTCACACTCCAGTATGACACATACACTGCTCTTCTGCTGGTGGGACTTCCAAACAGTTTAATGATTAACAAAAGTTAACAAAGTGAATTATTTTTAAAAATTATACAGGCAATGATAATGTGCTGGTTTGAAAGTAATGGGAAATTGCCTCCAGGGATATATTCACATTATATTTTCTCTTTTCTCTTTCCAACACTGACCTAGAAAACTGAGGTTCTTGTGCAAGTACAGTTTCAGAAGGTGAGGTTTTTGAGAAAACTCAAAATTTTGCAACACTAGTCATGCTGAGGTAAAGACCTACTTGACTCCAGTTGAGTGTCATTGCTCCCAAGTACAAAGTAGAATATGAAACAGCAACTTTTTCCAATCAAACCCTTAGCTTCCATTATTTAAAATGTTGCCTGCAAAATCATCCAGTGGAGTTTGCAGAAAGATTGAACATATTTTTAAGGTGTGACTTGTCACTTGCATTTCCGATACAGAAATGGTAGTAATCTACGGTATCCTGAAGGGAAGAGAGGACTTCACTTGTATAATTTTCTACTTGCATGAAAATGCTCAGCTTGTGTTACTTCTCCAGAATCTCACCATAAAATTTCCTTTTTAGCCACAATGAACTATATGATTTTACACAATCTGGTAAGATTCTTTAGTTTGAAGGCTGCTGTGGAAATTTGCCCCGTTCAAGGGCCAAAGAGAATGGAAGACCTATTTGAGGGTCACAGCCCCTGGTTGCTAACTCAGGTGAGTGCAGAGGCTGTTACAAGACTGACCAGACTGTGCACTGTCACTCAAGTGCACTTTCTTTGACAAGAGCACGAGTTAGAGTCGCTGCACTGTATTTGCTCATGAGCACATTTTGGATTCACAACCAATCCCAAGTTAGCTTGGGATCATCTCCACCCATCTCATGGAACAAAATTTTTGCTGAGCAGAGCCATCAAGTGAGATGCAAAGAATAAATACATATTGAAAAATAAAATAAATCCTTTGCATTTTGCCAGCTTAGCCTTTAATAAGGTATTTTTTAAACAGTCGTTTAAAGCTTAGATACCATGATGATCTTTTGGCATGAGATAAGTATCAAATAATTTTAAATAGAAAAATTATTTGAAAGCTCTTCTCACTAAGTGTCAGCCTAGAAACTTAGTAAGTATGAAGTATTAGTTAGTAAGTATGAAGACTGCCACATGGGGAAACAGTTCCAAAAATTATCACGATGCACACAGCAATGTCAGAGTGCTTATGCTACTTGCCTCATAGTTTCACAACATTTAAGGCCAGGAAAAAAACTAATTCGTCTTATTCAACATGTATATCATAGGTCATGGTATTTCACTGAAACCAATTTTGCTAATTTTCTTTAAAGTACCACTTTTCAATCCTCCAGATGAAATAGAACAAAACTCAGTGTTTCTTGAACATAGCTTGATTCAGAAGAAAACCAGGCCATTTCAAAGCACAGCTTATTGACCAATGACAACCCACTATTACTTTGATTAAGCCCTACTTTTTGAGAGAAAAGTAAAGAACATTTAGATAATTGCACATCATCCTGCATGACCCAGGCAGGCAACCCACTGCAGCACAAGACTTCCATGCCATCACAGGCACCAGCAATTTGTGCCAGTGTCTTTTAATAGAGCTTCTAAAGCTTTAAGTGAGGTAATGTCAGTTAAAGACAAAAAGCAAGTTGGGGAAAGGATCCTGGAAGCTGTGTCAAATCCTGATCAAAAATATGACATTAAAGGATAGAGAATAAAATAATAAATATCTCTGGACATACCCTGACATCAAGTCTATTTTTGCACACTTTGCTCAATTGAGAAAGAAGTAAACTTCATATATTTTCATATTGGTAAAACTTCACAATTGCAACCAGGTCATGCTGCAGAGAAACAATACCTGATCTTTTTCTGGCAGCTAGTGACAATTTCCTTTTGTGCTGTGGACTGGAGAAGTTTGAGTGTTGCTGAGCATCAGATGGTAGCTGCATTCCTTCAGGGCTGTTTCTAAGCTAAGAGGACAGCAAGCTCTCCCTTGCTTACCATTATGCCACAGATAATGTGGGAGAAGGTTTCTGGTTTTCAGAATTCAAAGTGAAAGGATAGCTGTAGAGAGAGAAGCAAAGATCAGGATCAGCAAGCACGGCTTCTTGAAGCTGTCAGTGTGCTCTATAGAAAGAAACCACGTTTTCATTTTCCTGCTGGTTTGTTGCATATTCTAACTTTATTCTTTACTGTTTTCATTGTTACATAAAGAATTTTGGTCTGTTTTCAGTGTATTTTTCTCCATTTTTTCTCTGAAAATACATAATATAGTTGAAATATAGCAGCAGCCTCTAAGTTTTCCTTTCATCAGAAAAATCTTACTTATTAACAACTTTTACTTCCTTATAATTTTCTAAAAATTAAAAAAAAAGCCCTGGTATCATGGAGGAGAACTCCAGTAATACTAATTGGTTTCAAATGACTAGTCTGTTTTAAAGGTTATGCAATTATTAGAATGCTGCTTCATTCTCTTGAAGTAGATTGGGGAAGATATTTTAGCCACAGATAAAATTCTGGCAAATTCAGCCCAGTACGTTGCTGCTGTATGATTTAATAATTTATGAAACATAAGGAGTGCAGAAGAAGTGTTGCCAGGCTGACCAAATTTTTTTCAGTCTGCATTCTGTGTTACACTATACAAACTGCAGTCTGTCCAATTTCCGATTAGGATAATTTGCCATTATTCCCTAGGCCCTTGTATAGAGCATTTTTAGAATGAATAATTAGTAGTTTGCTTACATATATTGCTTTCTATATCAGAGTAAGCTTCATCAGTTTAAGGACTTTTTCCCTGTTTTTTCCTTGGAATAGGCTGAGGCAAAAATCCATTGCCTCAGATAATCAATTGCCTTGTTCACAGTTATACAGCATAGTCATGCCATTGCAATGACTTTAATGTAGCCATTACAGGTCATTTCAGTAGCACGGCACAAAAAACTTAATTTTGTACAAGTGTCAACAGTGCTGAAAAATATATCAGTCTTTCCTTTTTAGTAAGCATGAGATGCCACAAGCCTTTGCAAGATCTTGCCTGAATCATAGATTTTCATAAGTCATTCTATCATCAGAGGAGTGGTTAAGCAACCCTGGCAACACAATACTTGTTTACTTGCATAAGAAAACAGATAAATAAAATCTAAATTAAATGTAATCTCTTCTAAAAATGCAGTTTAGCTGCCTTAATAGCTGTCAGAAATTCTACTTGAAAAACATGAGCCATTTGAATAGTCTTTTGAAGCCTATCCTGCCTGCAGCTCTACTATTGGTGGTGCATGCACAAGACAGATTGTGTGCCACATTAGCAGCAACTTTGCAACTCAGATTCAGACACCAATCTTGCCAAATTGGCTGCAGCTTCTTCTTCCTAAGAATGGACAGTGTACGTTATATCCCAAGCAGTTCTTAGTAATGTTTTCATGGCTGAGCAAATATCAAACAATATCATGTCTCTTGAAAAAATTAAACAAATAAAGCAATGTTTATGTATCTTCTGAAACAATGATTGTTTTTTTTTTCTCTCCTAATCTTTAATATA